AGAATAGAATAGAATAGAATAGAATAGAATGAGATGGAAGGGACCTTGGAGGTCTTCTAGTCCAGCCCCTTGCTCAAGCAGGAGAACCCATTAGTTTAGTTAGATTAGTTTCCACCCATTGTTTCTTGTCCTGCCCTCTGATGCTTTGGAGAATAATGAATGAGGGGAAAGAAAGAGCATTTTTAAATGCACTCGGAGGGCAGTAAAACGTAATTTTAAAAATGCCTTTGCAGAAGCTAGCAAGGAGAGACTTGAACCTGTGGCCCTCTGGATAAATTATAAGTTTTAGCAGCCCCTTGTCTCTGATAAGGGGTGCTGGAAGCTGTGGTTCAGCAACATTGGGATGGGATGCAAACCCCCCCAAATCTGCATGAAGCTATGAACTGAGTCACCTATAGTCAGGCTATAGAAATGGAAGGAAGGAAGGAAGGAAAGAAAAGGAAAGGAAAGGAAAGAAGGAAAGGAAAGAAGGAAGGAAGGGTAGTTCTTGTTATAACCATCAAGAACATCACCAGCAAATATTTGGAAGAGAAATAGTGTTGGAAGATAACATTTTCCCCTATGTTTATCACTCAACAACTCTGCAGAAGTTTTTTAAAAAGAACTTTCAATTTAAATATTTTGGAACGCTGAGAGAGTAAAATTCAAATCAACTTTCTCCAGGCTCCATTAGGTGTTCTAATTCTAATTAAAAGCCTCTTCAGCAGACATGTATACAGTCTTTGAACTTCCAAATTTTTCTGGGAACCCATAGCCTTATTTCAAGCCTTAGTCAACTTGGTGTGCTGAATATTCTGAAAACTGCAACTCCATGGATTCCCAGGCAGAGTAGGCATTACCAGTCCTACCAAACTTGGAGAGTGGCACTGGGAATGCACGTTCATTATGTGCAACACAACGCAAAACCTAATCTTCAGTCTTTGGTCAGACTGTGTCTCATCACCCAGAGTGTTTCTGTAACATCATCCAAGCATTGTGCTGATTGAAGGGTGGTTTTATAGCATCTCAGCAGTGCCCAGGTGATACCCACGCATGTCTCTCAGATACCAAGTCTCTCTTGGGCTTTGGGCTCCTAAGATGCCAAGTTTTGCATTGGGAAATGCATCATTACACCATTCAATGAAGAATCCAGATCAACTTTCTGCACAGAATATTTATTCGAACCGAATGTGGCAATTTAGAATTTGCTTCAGGAAAAAAAAAAAAGCAGAAAAGCAGAGAACGGCACAGCAACAAAAATAACATTTTGCAATGACTGTCTAAATCAACCTTTCCGTGATACAAATCCTCAAGGAAATAGAACAACAGTTCAGTTCAGTCTAAAATATCACATGCTACTTTGTGCTGTTTGTGAAACTCCACCTTTGGACAATGAATGGGAAGCAAAAGTTTGCATTAACAGGAAACCAGGAGAGAAGATAAATATTTACATTAAAAAACAAACAGACCTCACCCAACTTGGGGTTTTCTTTTTCTTTCTTATGTTCCTAAACAGCCTTGTCCAACTGAGAGGCCTTTCCAAAATGTTAAGTCTACCTTTCCCATAATTCTCAGCCAGCTAAACTCTGTGGAGGATTACGGAACATAATATATCTGGAGGGTGATGGGTAGGGCAAGGAAATAGTTTCACACCAAGGACTAATCCTTGTGAAAGTAGGAATTGTCCATCAAGTTAGATTTAATGTAGCTAAATATGACCTTCCCAGAGGCCATCAAAATATTGAGACTGAATGGTCAAAGATTCTTACCTTGGTTGGTATTCTCCATCAACAAACATGTCAATTTGCCCTTTTACATGAAACATTTTGTATGAATGTAATCTTCCTGTCTCAGTATTATGGGGTGAGGTCCAATTTATGTCATCTTTCACCTCTTGAACTCCTTTTTCTACCATCATTCTTAGCAAAGGAAACCACTTAAGGAGGAAAAGAGGAAAACGCATATCCAGTTTGACTGACCGTCATGCTTTTAACCCTCCCCTGGGAATCAGTGAGAGAAAATTGTGACATAGCTGCAATTAGCAAGCTGCTGTTGGCTTTGTTGTCATTTTGGAATCATGCAGTTTGTCATGCCCCTATTGGAATCTGACTCGGAGGGGGAAGCCAAAGAAGCTGACAGGGGGTGGGAGTGTGGCTCCATTGGCTGAGGAAGAGGTAGAGCAAGGGAGACAGAATTCAGAGGAAGACCCAGACCCACCCTCTCTTCATCCTAGGACACGCAGGGAGGAACGGAGAAGAGAGCAACATGGGTTGCGTGGCTTATGGGGGAGGAAAGGGCCCTGATCCCCTTCATTAGCTGCAGCTGGGAACACAGTGTATAAAAGAGGAAGTTGCGCACAGCAAGTTGTTGAGAGCAAATGTGAATTTATCTTGTATCGTCGTGGCTTATCTGTGTTCCTGGCGTCTTCCCAACTGTGTGAGTTTAGCCGTGCTTTCAAGTCTGAAATTCCTTCTCCTGCCCTGTCAAGTTAATTACTTCAGCTTGGTTTGTTTGGATTTTTAGTTATAGTTTGTATGTACCTTGTTTTGGACTGAATTTTCTACAGTTAAAGGCTGTTCCTGGAAGAGTTTTTCTCCAGCCAAAGGTAACCTGGACATTGGGGGCAAAGCTGGAGATAATAAAGGGACTCTTATTGCTTATTTGACTATGTTGCCTTTGTGCCACGCCCTGGGTCATCACACAGTTGGGAAGGTGAATTCTGATACCATTTTTTTGACCCTGACTTTCAAGAAAAGAATTAAGCACTTCCTCAACACTGATTGCTTCTATCGAATGAAGAAGACCTTTCCTTGGCAGCATTTGGAGAAAATGGCTTTGGGGATGTTCAACATCTCTTTCCCAATATTCCACAAACAAAATATGGGGAACCTTGTGCTCAGCACCTGCATTCATATCATAAAATAATAGTGTTGGGTTATTGGAGACGTTATAGCAGTCTCCCTCTATAGATTATCGTGTGCACGTTGCTTCATTTATTTCCAAAATATGCAAAGCTAATTCTGCTGTAGATTGAGCCTCTCTCACACACTGAGTAGTGTCCATAATCTTTTCCCATGTAATTTAAGGGATTCAACTCAGGAAAAGACTGTTTCCGTTGTTCTGCACTGGTAGTTGGAAATAGGCAATGACCCAAGTTAAAATTGACATAGTGGGCAGAAAACGGAGCCTGAAAGTGAGGCTGTGTATCTTAACTGCTTACTGTTTGTTAAAACTTCCAGTATACTCATCATAGAAAAATGATCACACATACGATATTTCCTCATATCTATAGCTATATATTCCAGATTTTTGGTTAATATACAAAAATATATTACGCTACTAACTAAATAGCCAATTGAAAGCTTCAATATAACTATCTTCACTTGAGCCTGAAAAAAAATAGATGTAAAAGAATTAAAACTCAAGAATATTGCAAATAGTGGTATCTCACAAACACACTGATCCCTTTGGAGACATGATACAAATATCTAAGAAATTAACGGTAACTGATTTCCCAACATAGCATGTATAATCTCACAACAATTAAAGTTATTTATAAAATAATTATTCCCTAGAGAGGCCATTATGACAGCAGTAGACAGAAGAAGCTGCCTGATACCGAATAGGGCAATGGGACTATTTAACTCCATGTTTTGCAAACTTGGGGGGACTTTAAATTGTGAGGACTTCCACTCCCAGAATCCCATGCTAGATGGGGAATTCTGGGGAGTTGAAATCCACACATCTTTAAGTTTTGCCAAGATTGAAAAACATTGTGTTAACTCAATAATTTCTTCTCTGGGTAAAACAAGAATAAACAAAGTAGTGACTCTCCTGGTGCTTTGGATTCCAACTCCCATCACCCTCAGCCCATGGTAAAAGACTGCAGAAGTCATAGCCTCAGTGCCTGATGTGTGGCCTTTCAAAATCAAATCAGTCCCAGGGATGCCAGAAGGCAAACTTGGAGATGAGCAAAACATTGAAATTCTCATTTCAAACAATTCTGGAGTGTTTCAAGCTCAAAAACATCCCAAAATGGCTGGGTGGTGGGGAACCCTTTTTTTGTGCCTGATGCTCGATGCCTTTGGAATCAAAATATTTTGCACACGCCTCCATTTAAAATCCTTTGCATTCAAGGCACATGTTTTTGGAACTGAGCGTTCCTAGCTGTGGCTAAAGACTTCCCAGGGATGAATGGAATGAGAAGTGTTCCTGATAAAAAAACGATTCAACCTCTTTTTTTTTTTTTTTAAACGAATAAACCTGTTTCTCTCCTTCCTTGTACCAAGCCTGCTCTTATCAGTGGCTAGCCAAGTTGAATGAATGGATATCCAAGGTACCATCGTGGAAGGAAGGACAGAAGGACTTTTGGACAAGCAACCAAGACTGGGGAGGAGCCCCCAAATGCAGTCTGTTGAAACTTGGGCAGCAATACATCCTCTTCCTGACGTAGCATCCTCAATGACTTAACTTCATCGTTGTTGAAGGTAAACCACTTGGCCTGCCTGAGATGAGGAAGGAGGAATGGCTGGGGAAGAGGATGCTTGCTGGATCAAAGAGTCCTTTGGAGAACCCAGGCATACAGGTGAAGGCAGGCGTCTCTTCGGGCAGGCTGGTCCAATCCATGGAATCTAAGGAGCAAATTGGGACATGTCAACTAGGGCTGACAAGCAACAGGTAGAAGCTTGCTCAAGAGAGAGCCAACCTAGAAATAAGGACAAATTTTCTGACAACAAGAATATTTAATCAATGGAGCAGCTTGCCTCCTGGAATTGTAGATGCTTCATCACGGGAGGTTTCAAAAATAAACTAGACAACCATTTGACTTGGATAAGTCTTCTGCCTTGGGCAGGGGGTTTGGCTAGAAGACCTCCAAAGTCCCTTCCGGTGCTATGATTCCATGTTCTGTTCTCTAGGCAGGATCTGTTGTGGCCTGTCAGCTGCCGGCCAGTCCAGCAGCCGAATCAGATGGGGAGGAGGCATTGGTCAGGGTCAGCATCAAAGCAATCTGAGAGGGGGGAAGAATGGAGCAGTGGGGGGGGGGGGAGAGAGAGAGGGAGGAGAAAGGGGAGGGGGGAGGCAGAGCCTGGGCCATCCATCAGCCCTGAGATGGAGAGTCAACAGCCCCCAGGTCTGGAGGTGGCTGAGGAGGAAGAGGAGGAACAGCTGGCTCCAGTGCCTGATGCCCGAATGAATAGAAGGCAGAGGAGAGGAGAGCAATGGAAATCTATGGGTTGATCCTTGGGACAGAAGAGCCATCGCTGCTAACAAAGCCCCACCCTAGCTCTGGGGATAAAAGGGAGGGGGCGGAGATGAATAGATGTGGCAGACAGCTATTCATCTTCTGGCCGGACGGACTTGTTAGCCTGCTGTGGGAGAGAGACTTTTTGCCGGGGCAGTGGATGTTCCTAATAAAGAAATCGGTGATAAAAGTACAGAGGGTTGGTCATGTTTGGGGAGCTGGGTCAGAACAGGATCTCTAGCAACATCCTCAGATTTCTAGATCTCTAACCCTTGCAGGATATGCTCACCTAAAAGAGCTTCTCGTAGCACTTATCGCAGTGGACAATATCCCGATGAATGAAGATTTGATCCAAGAGATTTCCCATGGGCTTGTGGCAGATTCCACACTGCGAGAGAAAAAGCAAGATAGCTGCTCTCTACTTAGCTGTGGACATGTCTTTTGCACGCCTACATAAAATGTATGCTGCTCTGCGGCTAGACAACTAACGAATAACCAGTGGCTCCATCTGTAATGTATTTGCCGTGTGATTGAATCAGTTGTTGTTGTTAGTTGTGAAGTTGTTAGTTGTTGTCTGACCCATGGCGACCCCATGGACAACGTTCCTCCAGGCTAAAGCTTAGGAGGGCCAGGCAGAAATTGTGAGACTTAGTGATGAGGATATCCCATTATGCAGCTAGGGAGTGAAGGTTCCCACCTACTTCCTCCTCCCGACTTATTTATTTGTATCCCGTCTTTATTACTTTGAACAATAACTCAACTTAACATGCCTTGCTCCTCCTGTTTTCCCCACAGCAACAACCCTGTGAAGGGAGTTGGGTTGAGAGACAGAGAGTGATTAGCCTAAAGTCATCTAGTAGGCTTCCATGGTTAACGTGGGACTTGAATTCGTGGTCTTTTGCTTTCTAGTCTGGTGCCTTAACCATTAGACCAAACTGGCACCTCTTCATATCTCTGTGAATACCACATTTATCAGGCGCATCCTTACTTTGAAGCAGTATTCGTGGCAGCTGATGTTGAGGTTCTCAATAGATATCTTGGCACAGTTGCGGATTACTCGGCCACAATAAGTACAAATATCTTCCAAAGACCTAGGAGAAAGAAGGAAGATGATGACAGTCCAAAGACAGTGGTCAATATGCTTCTAGCTTCATAGAGCTTCATGTTGAAGAAGATACACTGCTTTCTACATGACATGCAACTCAGAGAGCTCTTATGGCCAAATCCTCTTATCAGTATGGTGCAAAATTGTTGGTGAAGTAGTGGAAGACAGACGTGTAACAAGCATATTGTCTTACTGTTATTATCTCCTGCTTTGTATGAAATTGGAAGGACTTTGTCTTTTGCCTCCCACTTTAAAAACACACACATTGACTATAGGAAAATAAATAGCAAAACCTGGAGTTGGAGTCCAAAGAGGGATCAGCCTAGAATCCCTACAGAGCCACAAACTAAGTCCAACACCCCACTTGAATTCCATTGATCTTTAGCAGTTACTAAGTGTTAGTTGAGAAAATTCCTGTGCACAGGCATAAGTAGCAATAAATCAGTTTAACTGGTTCTTTATGTGCGGATCTGATCTTTCGTTCCTGACACTAACAGACTTCTTCATAAAATTCTGCATGTGCTGGATTTCAGTCTTACAAGCTCTACTTAATTAGTATTGGCTGAATTCACACAACACACGAAAACCTAAAATCAAAAACTGTCAGAGCGTTTACAGTGGGACTCCTATTGTGAGACAACTCAGGAGCAAAACACAGGACACAGAAGCTTTGTCTTTTAACAGTGGTTTTTATACAAGATTGCTATATACATACATACGTGTTTTAGGCAAATACAGGCAATCAATCAATCTTCAACTCTACACTTAGAACTATAATAGAGATAGAACATGAGAGAGAGAGAGAGAGAGAGAGAGAGACGCCCTCACATGGTCTTCCTTATATAGACAGCTTCTTAAAGTGGCACTACCCTGCTGATTCATCCTCAGCTCATCATCTTGGCTTACAGCCTTACGCAGCTGATCAACTATTAAATCTTCATTACCTTAACATTCCTGTAGCCATAGAACACTTCCCAACAATCCTTACCAAAGGTAATTCACTCAGCAAAAAACAATAGGTTCTCACAAGTTGTTGAAGCACAATACAATCCCATTTCCTCCTGATTCATGAAAACTTGGCACTTGTCTGCTTTGAAAGGGATCCCATATCAAACCACAACAAGAGCATCACGCCAACGGTTGGTTTTACCTTTTGGGAGATGTGTTATTCAGGTAGCTGGTACTGCTGTAGCTTGGATTCTCCAGTTCAGACAAGTCAACCAAGCTGCGACTGGAGAAGGAAAGAGTGAAGACTCTATAATTGTTATACAACATGACTTTAAAAAATACTAAATTCAGGAGATGTTGCTGTTTTAAATGTTCCTGAAACAGTGCTTTCTCATGAAAACTGGGGGCCCATGTAGTATTTGATAGAATGCTGCATTATTCCATGATGTCTTTCTGGAAAAGAAATTTCATCCGAAAGCAAAATAAAAAAATGCTGGGCAAAGCAGAAACATTTAATTAAAGATGAAAAGGCCCCGAAGCCTTCAAAGCCATTTGCCTACTATTGCATGCACTTGCATTTAACACCTTGCCATAAATTATGTCTGCAGAAACACAGAAAGATGACAGAAAGGCCACTTGGTGAGCCACCAAGAACACTTTCAGCAACATTGGTGGGGCAAGTATATAAAAATAAGAACAAACCCCAACTCCCTTCTACCACTGATGATGTTGCCTAGTTTGGTATTGAAATATCTGCAAGAAAACCACCAAGCTCAGAGAGCACCAAGGACCCCAGAGTTTTCCTCCTACTCCACTCTGCAAACACCAATCCCTTCTGGCACTGATGATGTTACCTAGTTAGGTAATGAAACATCTGCCAGAAAACCACCAAGCACAGAAAGCACTAGGAACCCCAAAGTCCTTTACCCCTCCTCCTTTACCCCACAAAAACATATAAAGAACAGTTGCTGGAATTGGGTATGACTAATCTGAAGGAAAGAAGGACTGGAGGTGACATGATAGTAGTGTTCCAATATGTTAGGGACTGCCACAAGGGAGTCAAGCTATTCTCCAAAGCACCTGAGCAGGGCAAGGAGCAATGGATGGAAACTGAACAAGGAGAGATTCAACCTGGAAATGAGGAGACATTTTCTGAGAACAATCAACCAATGGAGCAGTTTGCCTTCTGAAGTTGTGAGAGCTTCATCACTGGAGGCCTTCAAGAAGACACTGGACTGTCATCTGTCAAAAATGATATAGGGTCTCCAGCTTAAGCAGGGGATGGACTAGATGACCTACAAGGTCCCTTCCAACTATTCTATTCTATTCTATTCTATTCTATCCTATCCTACCACCCCCTTCCACCACTGATGATATTACCTAGTTAGGTAATGAAACTGCCAGAAACCACTAAGCTCAGAGAGGACCAAGGACCCCGAAGAGAGACCATTGGCATGCATGGTATTTAGATGCTGAAGAAGACACGAATGAACAAAAAGTACTAATGTGAAGATAATAGGAGAATGTAATAAGAGAATCCAAAGCTAAGTGTGAGCTCAAGCAAATTCCTCTGATTGACGCAAGATTTTTCTGCATTGCGAAAAGAACTGGTGCCTTTGGTTTCCTCACCTGTTGTAACGTGGGGAGGAAGACATTTCCATACTTTTGATGGATTCTTTCACAAAGAGGAGGCCTTTGCTACAGGAGGGACGAAAGAAATACACATTTCAGTGGAGGCATTGGTGGACAAGGGATGTGATATCTGGTATGTTGAAAAGCATTCTTCAGTATACTCTACCCTGATGCAGATGAATCTGATTCATAATTAGAAAAATTCTTCTGTTCAAAGGAAGCAGGGAGGTCCTTTGCCTCAGAATCAGTCAAATTCCTGAAGAGAAAGACATTTGAACATTATAATATCATGTTTACAAAAAGGCATTAAGAGTTGTTAACCTAATCCTACGTAGCTTTTTCTCTAGGGCATACAAAACATTCGCTAGACCAATATCACACTACTAACTAGGGCATACAAAACATTCGCTAGACCAATACTCGAATACAGCTCATTAGTCTGGAACCCACATTACGTATCTGATATTAACACAGTTGAGAAAGTCCAGAAATATTTCACAAGAAGAGTTCTCCACTCCTCTACTCGTTGCAGAATACCTTAGGCCACCAGACTTGAAATTCTAGACCTAGAAAACCTAGAACTACGCTGTCTTCAGTCCGATCTAAGAAAAAGTATATAAAATCATACATTGCAATGTCCTATCTGTCAATGAATACTTCAGCTTCAACCATAACAATACAAGAGCACACAATAGATACAAGCTCAAGGTTAACCGCACCAAACTTGATTGCAGGAAATACGATTTCAGCAACGGAGTGGTCAATGTCTGGAATACTCTACCTGACTCTGTGGTTTCTTCCCCAAACTCCCCAAACTTTAACCTTAGACTATCTACTATTGACCTCACCCCTTTCCTAAGAGGTCTGTAGGGGGCGTGCATAAGCGCACCAACGTGCCTACCCTCCCTGTCCTATTGTTTCTTATATGTATCCATTTCATGTATTCATAACTATGTTTATCCTTATACTTATTATCTTGTAAGCGATTGACAAATCAAATAAATCAATAAATGCTGCAGGTTCTGAGATGAGGCTCTTCACCTGCTGTAGCCTGAATGGCTCCTCACAAAATCTTTAGGAAAGGCAGTCTATATACAAAGTGGCTCTGATGCCATCTGCAGGATGATTTGAAATATTGTAAAAAGCAGAAGATTAATAATCTGCGGCTTTAATCAGAATAGAGCTGGAAGGGATCTTGGAGAACTTCTAGTGACTACTCCAATCCCCTGCTCAAGCAGGAGGCCCCATACAATTTGAGACAAGTGGTCGTCCAATCTCTTCTTAAAACCCTCCAGTGATGGAGCACCCACAACTTCTGAAGTTCCACTGGTTAATTGTCTTCACTGTTAGGAAGTTTCTCCTTAATTGCAGGTTGCTTCTCTCTTTGATCCATTGTTTCCCTCCGGTGCTTTGGAGAATAATTTGATCCCCTCTTCTTTGTGGCAGCCCCTCAAATACTGGAGTCATGCCCCCCCCCAGTCCTTTCATTCTCTAGACTCCTTAGACTACCGTAGCTTGTAGGATAGATGCATAGATAAATGGGTATTCTAAATTTAGGGGAAATTTTACTCTCTTTTCCTGTACCTTCAAATTAGTCCCTGCCGTTTCCTTGGCAAGATTTCTGAAGCGGTGATTCATTGTTTTTTTCCTGGGAGAGAATGACTGACCCAGTTGGTTTGGTGCCCTGATTTTTTTTTGTAAAGATTCCAATAATTCGTGTATTAGTTAACATTAGGGTATTCATTCTTAATCTTTACCTTCCACTCTCTGTGTCACAGATGTCCTTATAAAAAGGCACCCGATGGCTTTTTGGAATGCTATTGCCAGCATCTCTGAAGGGGTAGTAAGACATGCTAGGAAGAAATGTAGATATGTATTAATTCAAGTCTTAACCAAAAACAAAACAAAACACAACAACAACGACAACAAATGAAATGATGTAATGAACACACAAGAAAGGGAATTCTGAAAGATAAGATCCAGACATTCTCAATATTACTCAGTTTAGTCAAATAACAGAATAACAGAGTTGGAATGGATCTTGGAGGTTTTCTAGTCCACCCCTTGCTCTACCATTTCAGACAAATTAATATCTTAAACTTACTAAAGCTTTGCTTTTTTACAATGTACATCCTGGGTTATTTTTTCCATTCTGAATTCTCTTTTTGCAAAACCATCTCACCCCAATGCAAGCCATTCTCCTACTCTTCACTGAAGGTGTGAGTTTACCAAAGATCAACCTTGTAATTCTTAGGGAAATCTTCAAGAAAACACTTATTAAAAAAAAAAACCAGTTCCAGGGAATACAGCCTTGTCTTGGTTAGATCATTTTAGAGCTTCAAGAAAGATCTTAATTTACTTTATATAATAGTTAAAACTTTCATGATTTGTCATTTACTAAACTACAATGACACTAGAAATGTCACCTGTTTCTGGATCAGCTTCTGGACATATAGATTTTACACCTTAAAACCAGGGGTAGGATTCAAATTTTTTAACAACTGGTTCTGTGGGTGTGGCTTAGTTGGTGGGTATGGCTTGGTGGTCATGTTATTGGCTGGGCGTGGCCAACTCAATATCACTCACATCGAGGCACGCATCTCCTCGCCTGGCCTCTCATGACTGTGGGGATGCTGCAACGGTCGTAAGTGTGAAAAATGGTCATAAGTCACTTTTTTCAGTGCCATTGTGACTTTGAATGGTCACTCCACACAAGCAAAGTACCAGCAAAGGAGGGGAAAAAAACTCCAGAGAAGTTCCTGAGACAGGAAGTCTAGTCCTGCCAAGAATGTAATAAGGGTTAATGGAGAGGCAGTTTCTGTAAGCAACACCAGAATGTTTCCTTCCTGCCTTCCTTACAGGATTAGTCCAGTAATTTCTTCTAACAACTGGTTCTCCAAACTGCTTAGAATGTTAACAACTGGTTCTAGCAAATAGTTGCAAACCTGTAGAATCCCATCCCTGCTTAAAACTATGTGTGGATTTAAACATCTTCATTCATTACTCTTCATAACCTATAATTGCCCCGTTGGCTATCATAGCCTTTGATAAATATCAGAGGAGTAGGAACAGACAAAAGCTTAACCATTTTGCTTCAGAATGTTATTATCTTTGTTGTGTTGATCACTGTAATGGTGATTGGAAACCCCTTTCTTCCTTTCCTTGTTCCCTCTTGGATTTGTGTTCTTTGCCTTCTTTGTTCCTTTGTCTTGGGATATTTTATGTATGTTTTGTAATGTTCTTTGTTTTAAACATTTTTAACAATTGAAAACCACCTAGAGTCCCTGGATGTTAGGCAGCCTACAACTACTACTGATACTATTAAACAGGTGACACCAATAGTAATAAGTGCCTTGAGTGCAATCCCAACACAACTAGAGCAGCACTTGAACACCATCAGCATTGACAAATTCAGTCATCAGTCAATTGCAATAGTTGCCTTTACTTGGAACAGCGTACACACTGAAACAATATCTTGAACTCCATCAAACAACCACATCTGCCTATCCCAGGTCCTTGGAAAGAATTCAATAAGTAGACAGAAATGCCAAATCCAGATTGAACATCTGTCTGACTATGCAATGAACCATAGTAATGATGATGCCTTCCCAAGATGTGGCACTCTTGTGGACAACTCAGCATCTCAACAATGTTGTTCTGACTGGATGTCCAAATTAGAGAAAGCTGTCAAATTCAGGAGTGCTAGAATTTTCAATTCTAGAGATAACAGATAACAGATAATCAGAGTTGGAAGGGACCTTGTAGGTCATCTAGTCCAACCCCCCACCCAAGCGGGAGACCCTACACCATTTCTGACAAATGGCAGTCCAATCTCTTCTTGAAAGTTTCAAGTAATGAGGCTCCCACAACTTCCGAGGGCAAGCTGTTCCATTGGCTGATTGTTCTCACTGTCAGAAAGTTTCTCCTAATTTCCAGGTTAAATCTCTCCTTGTTCAGTTTCCATCCATTATTCCTTGTCTGGCCTACAGGTGCTTTAGAGTAGCTTTTGACCAGATTTTCCTATGGTGGAAATCAGAATCTCACATATACATGCCTGTCTATACATACATGCACTTCCATAACTTATATTGCTCTGTTTCTGAGCAGTTTTATAAATGTATTACAATAAAGAACAAGTATCAATTAATACCAATAGCACTTAGACTTATATACCGCTTCACAATGCTTTACAGCCCTCTCTAATTGGTTTACAGAATCAGCCTATTGACTCCAACAATCTGGGTCCTCATTTGACCCCCTCAGAAGGATGGAAGGCTGAGTCAACCTTGAGCCTGGTGAGATTCGAACTCCTGGCATTGGGCAGAGTAATCCTGCAATACTGTATTCTAACCACTGCGCCATCACAGCTCTAACTATAATGCACTTATAATCAATCTACTGTACCACCATTCAGGGGTAGCATGATCTTAGTCACCCCCAAACACTTTATGAAGAATCATCTTTTTGTGAACCTGAAAATTTAATAAGGCACAATGCTCCAGATATCCAAGTACAAAGTTCTCAGATTTGATTTGCAAACCATTTTTCCCCTGTTGTTTGATGATCCAAGAAACATCACCCCAAAAAGATTACTACAACACAAGAGGCCACATGTCCATAATAAGCCTTAAAGTGCTAATTGATATGCAGGTTTAGAAATTATTAGACTTAAATAGCAATTGATGTCATGTTGAAAAGGAAGGTGATGACAGGTGAATTTATGTACCTCTATAGCTTGCTATCCTATGCTAAATGTTGATTAGCTTCTTCATAGTTCCTGCTTTCCCTTTCTAAATTCTTTAATTGGACAACTGTTCACATTGACGAGGACTTTCAATAGACAAATGCTCCCTTATGAAGATATACATCCTCTCTAGTTTAGTTTAATCTAGTTTAGTTTATTGTCATTGCATTGAAATTAAATACCATCTTCAGTGTATATTATGACTATGAAAATAAAACACAAACACACATCCTTCACATTCTATACATTGAATTGAAAACCCCTGATATTGCATTAATATTGCCCTATACAGTTGAAATCAATAGAGTTACTCCCCTGGGATAGAAGCTGTTTTTCAGCCTATTTGTCCTTGTTTTTATTATCCTGTACCATCTGCCAGATGGTAATAGTAAAAAAAAAAGGGGGGTTCCCAGGATGAGATGGATCTTTAAGGATGTTTTGAATTTTCTTAAGGCAGCGGGAGCTATAAAGCTCTTCCAAAGAAGGGAGAGGGCAACCCATGATCTTCTGGTCAATGACGTTAACCCTCTGGAGCACTGTCCTATCGCCCACCGTGCAATCTAAAGTAGGACATTGGGCCATCTTCTCATCCCTACAATAATCTCTGATTATTACCTTCTGCTGTTGAATGGCTGGTTGTACAAGTAGGATGCTATGCCGTTGTTGAATCCCAACATTCTACGGTTGTAAAGTTGATTGTTCCTGTTTATTCCATTCCTAGACTCTGAAGATCTGATAAAATGGCCAGCTTGACGATCCAGATGTGAAAAAATCCTGAGACCAATGTCCAACACAGGGAGGATTGTAAATTGGGTTTTCTATGAATTGTCTAACATGCTAAAAGTAGGTCAGTCCCTCTGAAGAGGATTTTTTTTAAACCTCTCTCTCTCTCTCTCTCTCTCTTTCTTAGTTGGTTAGGACAATTGGTTAGAAGATTACTTTCCAGAAACTACCAGTTTAGATAATTCATAAACATGGAACATTTCTGGGAATAAGTGGCATCCTCCAGATATAAAGAGGTTAAGTGGAAACAAAAAACCACCACATCTGCCTAGGTTTGAAGAAGCCATTTCAAATAGTTTGCAAAATGACAAACTATTGTAATGCTAGCAAGGATGGAAAAGACAACCAAGATTCCAATCCGAACCATATCTACTTGGGAATTAGTGATTAGAAATAAAAGGCTCTAGTATCCAAGTAATATGCTCAGAATTATGATGAAGAAGAATATATTAAAGGAAAGAGAACATGAAAACCCTCTAAAGAAAAAAACAAACTCTAGAAATGACTCAGAAAGAAAAAAAACATGGATAGGAATGTAAGTAGGCCATTTCATGAGTTACTTCTCATGAAAAGTGTTCAGTATAAAATAATTCTTCAAATATCACTCAAAAATATTTGGCTATTTGAAGAGAACCTGAGATAGACAAGATGTAATGGTTGTTGAGGAACCTAGAATGCCCAAATCCATTGGAAAGAACTTGGAGTGGGGGCAGAAGATAAGAAATGAGGAGAAATGGATAAACAATGCATAATAAATATCATACATTCAGTCTTAAAAACATGCCTTATCATACTTCTTTGTAACATAGCTCAATTGACAATGAAAATGCAGGTTAAATTTTCTATCAAAAGGAAAAGAGGACACAATTAAAATGATTCTAGCAAGATGCTTATGATCAACTGGCAAAGAAAATGCTCTTTGGGCATCTCCTGTTCAGGATAAGCCATGATTTATAATAATCAAGATAATAAAGGTCTCTAAAGTAAAATTAATTTCAGATTCTAAAGGGATTGAACATCACGAAACAAAAATGTAACACAATGCAAGAGAAGAAAAACACTCTAGAAATAACAGCCAAATTGCTTAGAACAAATTCATTGATTACAAGGAACATAAAAGTTAATATGCTGGAAAAAGGATGCATCAATTGACAAAAGGCGTCGTAGAAAATTTTCTTATTATCTTAGGGATAATTTTAGGGAAACTTCACAAGGTATGTGAATACTCTTTTAATAGTAAATCTGCTTTTGTGTGTCACACTCAGTGGGGCATGGGTATTTTTAATTCTAACATTTGTCACCCTCTGTCCATTAATAATTTCAGGTTTTTATATAATCTATGCATTCCCTTTAAGAAAAGAAAGAGATGGCTTAATCTGAAATGCTAAGACTTCAATATATTGAGACTCCAATAAATGCTAAGACTTAAATATATTGAGACTTTTTAACCCAGAGATATCATTGAGTTGAAAAGTTTGCAAAGTTATACAAGTAGGAAACAAGGTTTGATCTGGAAAACTCTCCTTGCAGAACTAAAATCTAAATTAGAAGAAGAAGAGAAGAAAACAGAGGAGAAAGATGAACAGGAACCAACCCATCCTAAACTAAAAATGAAGGATAGAAAAATAATGTGCTGAGCCATCCCATACTTCATGACCCCTTTTAAGCTGGACTGTCGAGGAACTGAACCTGAGACCACCAGCCAATGTGGCAAGCATATTCCTGACAATAAAGAAGGCATCTCTCCATTTCTTCTACTTAAGATCATAGGTATCCATTCCTAATGGCATGACACCAAATGATAAAACATGCCTTGTGGCATCCCAACATGTGTTTTGTCACTTGCCACTGAAGTGGGGGCATCTAGGGCAAAGATCTACCTAACTTCTATTTGGTGTGAGACTCCACACAGAATAATCCACTATCAGCAAAAACCACAATCTTGTACCAAGCTGCAAGTTAAACACAGAGGTGGTATTCATCAGGTTCTGACCAGTTCTGGAGAACCACGAGTGGAAATTTTGAGTAGTTCGGTGAACCGGCAAATCCCACCTCTGACTGGCCCCGCCCCCATCTATTCTCTGCCTCCCGAGTCCCAGATATCGGCTGGGTCTTCCTTGGTTGTCCTGCACAGGAGCTGGAAAGCAGGTTAGTGGGGTGAGGAGGGAATGGGATTATGCAGTAACCTTCCCCCAGGAGTGGGGAGGGAATGGAGATTTTGCAATATCCTTCTCCTGCCACGCCCACCAATCCACACCCACAGAACCGGTAGTACAAATTTTTGAATCCCACCACTGCTTAAACCCACCTAACGCAAGTTGGCAGCTAAATGTGGCCCACAACCCTACCTCCAGTTGCAACGAGCTAAGTCTCACTGTGGGTTAAAAAAAAAAGTATTCTCATTAGGAAGATGAAAAATGTTGGGTTTTTAAAATCACGCACAGTAGCAATTCTATGCTACTGTGCATTTTTTTAAACATATGCTTCTCAGTGTATTAGATTGTCTCTCTCTCCATTCAGTATTTGGTGTCCCGGTGACAACACAGTCTGAGACACAAAAATGAAAGAGAGAAACAATCATTAACAGCAGATAGTGATCCATCCATACCCTGATATTAATATCTACCAGTAGTGGTGTCCTTTCCTGTCCATAAAATGCCACATGTGTGTCCTGATTTTATTACACGTCAGATCTGAAGCCCCAGGCTGACTACGTTAAAGCTAGAAATACGAATCTAACTCAAGAAGTCAGAAGGTCAAATCTTGTTTCCCAAAGGAATTTAGAAGATTCCAAAATTATGCTTGTTTCCTTGTTTCAAACTGATGCACAGTTTGCTATTTTCAAAGGCCTTACAAACAGGTGAGGAGAATGCATCCTTACCACCTGCCATGTTGAATCAAGAGGGATTTTTTTTAAAAAAAACCCTAACCTTTTAAAGAAACCATTGAAAACTGGAAACCAAGAAACCAAAGGATTATACAATCAAAAATATGATAGAACTGTGGTATTTCTTGGCCACTTCGTTACTGAACAAGGCTGCAAATGTCACGTTTTGTTCGCGAGAGTTTTTCTGACATTCTCTTCTTCTTTGTTGAAAAATATTTCAAAGCCAAATCTGCTTTCCTTGAGTTGAAGGAGAACAGGCAGGAAATATAAAATAAAGCAGGACAATTGCTCAGCACAACGCAGTGCTTCACCAAGTTGTCAGGAGGTGAGGGCCAGTTCCTTACCTGTCTGAATCTTCACCTGATCTCTGATTCTGGTACTGGTTCTGTGGGCAGGTAATTCTACTCTCTGTAGCAAAGGAATTGTACCTGCCAAGGAAGCAAAGAGAAGGTCTATTTACTTCTTCTATCAAAAACCCTTCCAGTGGTTCTCCTTTGAGCAGAAACAGATGCATCCAAAGGTCTGCTGTGCTTCTCTTCCTGCCAAAGAGAAGACAGGAACAGGTGGTCCTTGCTTAATGATGTTTGTTCAGAGACTGTTCAAATTTATGGTAACACTGAATAAGGGGTACTTATGACCAGGGGTGGGCTTAAATTTTTTTTATCAATTTTCTGCCCGGTTGCTGGGTGGGTGTGGCCATGGTGGGCGTGGCCTAGTTGGCCTCCTGCACCGCAGAGCGGGGGGGAGTTTTCTCCCTCCCAGGGCTCTGGAGGCTTTCCTCGAGCCTCCAAGAGGGCAAAAACAGTCTCCCCCGGGCTTTGAAGGCTCCCTGGAGGCCGGAAACGGGCCTGTTTCTGGCCTTCTAGAACTTCCAGGAGACCTGTTTTTCGCTCTCCTCAAACCTTTTTATGGGCCCTCCACTTACCTGGGATATAAAACGGGCCACATGGAGATTCCTGTGAGGGGAAGGCAACTACCTGTTCTGCGAACCAGATGTAAAATTAACCTGAACCAGTGCAAACCAGTAGCAGCCCACCCCTGCTTATAACCAGTCCTTGGAAGTGAGACGATTGGCCTCGCTCCTGTGTGTCAACTCTGGAGCTGGCCTGACTGAGGCCATTTTGAGGCTCCAGGGTTGCCACAATGGAGATGGGGCTTAGGGAGGGGAGAATAGTGATAGCTGGGGTTTTGTAGCCAAAACAAAATAGTTTCCCCTGGGAACCAAGGATATTCCCACAGGTGGTTGAAGAAAGGAGGGGTGCTGTTACCAAGAAACCAGGTCACATTGGACCCTGTGACTGATTGTTTGGGGAAAGGGGAAAAGCTTTTACTTTTAATTAGGTGAAAAGCATGGGAACACTTAGAGTTGGTTTTCCATCAGGTCTGTGCCAATATGATATATCCAATAAAACTATCCTTTGAGGAACCTACCCACTTTGGAGTTTTGTTTGCTATGGGTGTATTACCTGGAACTCTGACACTGTGGCCATGTGATTGCAATTGCAATAGCACTTACACTTAGTGTTGTGAACTAAAGAAATGTAGTTAATAAAGATTCATTTGCATAGCAGGATCGTAATCCTGCACTTCCTATTGGCCCATATAATGGCAAGTTATGATTGGTTCATTCCGAGCAATCTGATTGGCTGTTGGCGGGCCGCGCCAAGATTAAATGCTATAACGCTATCCATTGGTTATCCAGATAGCAGCTTACTCTATAAAAGAGTGACTGCTAGCTGGGGGTTTTTGTCTCTGTTATGCTTGAGAATAAAGAGCTGAAGTTCAAGGTTTACAGTCTGGTCTCCGTTCATTAAACCCATGCCTCAAACCTAACACTTAGAGTGATTTACAGCCCTCTCTAAGCGGTTTACAGAGTCAGCCTCTTGCAAACCGCAACAATCTGGCTCCTCATTTGACCCACCTCGGAAGGATGGAAGGCTGAGTCAACCTTGAGCCTGGTGGGATTCGATCTGCCAAATTGCAATAGAACGGTGACATTTGGCAACCAGCCTATATTTCTGACCACTGCAGCATCCCACAATCACACGGTTTGTGATTTGTGTCCATCTCGACTGGCTTCTCACAAGCAAAATCAATGTGGAAGCCAGCAGAAAGTCAGAAGGATTCCATGAGGTCAACAGTATGATCCTCGCTTAATGATGGCGTTAAGATGGTCCCAATTACCATTGTTAGTAAGCAAGGACTACTCGTAGTTTGCAGCAAAATATGATCACATTGAACTTCATTTCAACCAGCAGGAATGCTTTGCCACAAACTTTATATGTTGTACACAACATTTTGTTATTCCCAAGACAGTTTTTTTTCTACTGAAAAAATTCACCTGGAAATATTCATATCCAATTCCTCCCTCTTGGGAATACTTAGAAGTTCACACTGGCTTCCAGTGGTACTCAGGCTGCTTTCCCCAGGCTGTAGTTCAGACCTGGAATAAAAATAAAATCCTGTCATGGAAGAGAATATTTGCAGCTCAGGGTTCAACTGCGGAGTCCTTGATGCTCACCTAGCTAATCAGACTAGCACTGACCATGTTACCTAGTTTGGTAATGAAATTCTGCAAGAAAACAACCAAGTTCTGAGACCAACAAGGACTTCACAAAAATAAGAATATTGGCAAATCTGTTCCTCTTAAACTTTGCTGCATAGTGTTCCCAGTAGAGGTGGTATTCAGCAGGTTTGGACCGGTTCTACAGAACCGGTAGTGGAAATTTTGAGTAGTTTGGAGAACCGGAAAATACCACCTCTGACTGGCCCAGCCAACCCCATCTATTCTCTGCCTCTCATTGAATCCCAGCTGATCATCTGGGTCTCCTTTGGTTGCCCTGCACAGGAAAATGGAGCTGGAAAGCAGGTTAGTGGGGTAGGAGGGAATGGGGATTTTGCAGTATTCTTCCCCTGCCATGCCCACCAAGCCACCCCCACCAAGCCAAGACATTCTCACAGAACTGGGAGTAAAAAAAATTGAATCCCACCACTGGTTCCCAGACCTTTTCCAGCAACCTCCAATTTTATTGGAGATTTTTATTCTTTTCCAGTTGTGCTTTATAAGTGCTTTTAAAGGCAAAACATTAAACTGCCACAAAAAGTCATACATTATTCTTGTTTTCTTTTTCTTTTTTTACTTTGTAGTCTTCTGTGACTCATTCCAAATGGAATGACGGGCATTATTTTCTAAAGTTATTACAGGTAGCCCTTGGTTTGTAACCATGCATTTAGTGATTGTTTGAAGTTACAACGGAGCTGAAAAAGGTGACTTATGACCAGTTTTCACATTTACAACCGTTGTAGTATCTTCACGGTCATGTAATCAAAATCCGGGCACTTGGCAACTGGCAAGTATTTATGATGGTTACACTGTCATTCATAACCTTCCAATCTGGCTTCCAACAGAAACAGTGTGGGAAGCCAGATTTGCTAAATGGCTGCATCTTTCACTTAACAATTGCAAGTGGTTTGCTTAACAATTGTGGCAAAAAAAAAAAAAAAAAGGTTGGAAAATGGGACAAAACTCTGTTAACAACCTAGGCCTTGCTTAGCCATGGAAATTTAGGGCTCTGTTGTAGGTCGTCAGTCGAGGAGTTGCAATACAAATCTTTTAGGAAGCAGGCTAGTGACGGGGTCCTCGGATATTTGTCCCCTTTCTCCTCTGTACCTTTTTGAGTCAAGACCCTCATTGTTGTCCAGGTGGAGGGATGTCCTGTACCCCATTCCTGGGTATACTTCAGTGTTTTCCCTGGTGAAAAAGGAAGACAGAAAGAGATTGGTCAGTATAGATGGAGAATTGGACGGGAGTTTGGTTGCTTTTCTCTTCCCTCCTCATCCTCATTCCCACCCCCTGTCTTTCTTTCTCTCTCTCTCTCTCTCTCTCTCTCTCTTTCTCTCTCTGTCTTTCTTTCTGTCTCTGTCTCTGTATCTCTCTGTCTCTCTCTGTCTCTCTCTCTGTGTGTGTGTGTCTCTCTTTCTGTCTCTCTCTCTCTCTCTCTGTCTGTCTCTCTTTTTTCCTGTTTCTCTCTCTCTTTCTTTCTGTCTCTCTTTCTGTCTCTGTCTCTGTATCTCTCTATCTCTCTCTGTGCATCTCTCGGTGTCTCTGTCTCTGTCTCTCTCTTTCTCTGTCTCTCTCTGTCTCTATCTATCTCTCTTCCTGTCTCTCTCTGTCTCTCTGTCTCTGTCTCTGTCTCTCTGTCTCTCTCTTTCTGTCTCTCTCTGTGTGTCTCTCTGTCTCTCTCTTTGTCTCTCTGTTTCTCTCTCTGTCTCTCTCTTTCTCTCTGGGTGTGTGTATTAGTTTGTAAGTGTATGGATAGAGAAACTATTCTTACTTTCGAAAACTGAACAGGAAGATTAATTAAAGTGCACAGTCAATGAAATCACCTTTTTGGATATGTTTCCATGGAGTCATAAGCCCTATGCTAAATATATTTGTTTTATGCTTTGTTGTTCCCGTAAAGCAAAGATGTTATTGATTTTTGAGGAATTATTTATAGCAACATTCCTCTAAGCCAGTCAGTTTTCTGGGCCTACAGGTCCCATTATCCTCAGCTAGCAAGGCCACCAGGGCTAGCACGCATGGGTTTGTTCATCATCCAAGAACTTTGGAAAACTCAAAATAAATATTTAACGGACACGCTTGTTGGGACTAAGGCAAGGATTTTCCAGGTGTGTTACTTGGAATTTTTCTTGTGGAATAATCTTGGTTTTCTGAGTGCTGAGGCTTCCTGAATTCTTACTTTTCTGTGGTTGGCTGATGATGGAAGAATTCTGTAGCTTTTGAGTCTGGATCTTTGGGTTTTCTTTCTCCATTGGAGACTTCATGTTTGTACTCCAGGACAGATCTGTTGAAAAGAAAAATGATTGTCTACCATAAAGATCCTGTTTCTCATTTTTATTTGTTTATATATTTTTGCTTGTAAAAATTTATTGGCCATCCATCTTACTTCAAGGTAACTTACAATAGTAAAAGATAAATACTACATACATACATACATACATATAAAAATTTAAAAAATACTTTATTGAATACAAAAGATTAAAATATACAAATTTACAAAAGTAAAAAATAAAAAAAATCATACAAATAAACATCACAACATATTCTGTATTAAGAGACTAATCATATTTTCCTCTAATACATTTTGATAGTGATTTAAATATCTCATAGAAAGTATTAAATGGCAGTTACCTCCTATCCCTTGTAGAATAACTGTATTAATAGTATATAATACATAATAATCTATTATTACTATTGGATTATAACTGTGTATTTTTATAGATAAATCATTTATATAGCTTAGTCAAAGAGAGAGATGAATAAAACTAGTATTCTATAAATTCCTATCATTTAGCATATATATATATATATGATAGTATGTTCGATAGGTTCGTGATTTCCCCTTATTTTATGCATTCTTTTTTTTTTACCATCTATCTTGTAAGATAAAAACTATATAAACTGGCGTGGGAGGTGGTAGTTGATATATATATCCCTCCTTCCCTGTCTCTCTTTCCCATTTTTCCAACGAAACAACCATAGTTTATGTGTGGAGACAGCATCAGAGAAGTATGGTTGTTTCCCACTTGGCACTCAAAATTCTTGCAAAAAATATTTGCTTGAAACTGCCTTAAATTTATTGAACCTTCATGTTCAAAAGGGCTATAGCACAAAACATTTTGCGCATCAATCTAACAAAAGTGTTGTTTGGAAACGAGCTTACTTGTCAAAAAACGTGCGACTCTGCGTTTCATTCTTCTCACTGCTGTTAGAAAACAAGGGATGTTAGAAAACATGTATTAGAATGTTTTAATTTTAGAAACGTTCTTTTAGAAAACCTTTGTGATTTAAAATGATTTTTTTTCTCTTTAAGGTTAAAGAAGCTGTAAGAGTACAGTGAATTTTATTAATAGACATGGTGATAGTTTATAAAGCTTATTATGTGCAAATAGAAATACGTATTTTTTCAACAAGAAAGATAAAACTGCAATGGTTAAATCGATTGTACTATTTAAAGAGGAAAATATATTTATGTTTTTTTAGTTGGATATCACTTCTGGATTTCGTGTATATATAATGGCTAGTTATATATACTATGTCAAAAGTAAAACGTTGAGGTTGTAATATTATCTTGTACTGTGCTAAAAAGAGTCGGAAATTAACATTTTCTCCTTTCTTCCCTTCTGCTTCATATTTTCTTTCCCCCTTTCTTTTTCCTTCCCTTAATTTCCTATTTTTCTTTTTCTTTGTATTTTATACATTGATAAAACAAAAAAGTTATATTTAAAAAATAAAGAAAACATTTCTTCATCCTTTCTACTTCCTTCCTAAACCCTCAACTGACCAATAACTAACCTCCTATTGTTGGTTGGGATGTCCATAGAGAAGGAGGAGCATCAAAATAGTTAAGACTTCAGCCTGTCACTGCACAATGGAAGCCCCATCCATTTATATGCATGGCATTCAGACACCAATTGCCAGCCTTGAAATTCAGAAAACACCAGTTGAATCCATTGCACATTCTTCAGTGAGCTGTAGAAGTCCCACCAATGTCCTGTCCCCTAGTCATCTATAGTCTGTTTCATGGGGCATTCAAAACATCTCAGGTTCATCACTGAGGCTTCAAAAGCTGCCAAGTTACTCCTTTTCTCCTTAATTTTTCAAAACAGAATTGACAGTAACGGTTCACTCTAGCAACTTAGAATCATAGAGCTGGAAGTGATCTTGGAGGTCTTCTATTCAAACTCCCTGCCCAAAACAGGAGATCTTAAGCCACCCTGGTTAAATGGTTGTCCAGTCTATTCTTGAAAACCTGCAACGATGGAGCGACCCACAACTCTGGAAGGAAAGCTGTTCCATTGATTAATTGACCAGGATTGATTAATTGACCAGGAATGTCTTTAGTTCCAGCTTGGCTCTCTCTTTAATGCTTCCACCCATTGCTTCTTGTCCTTTATAGCTTTAGAGAATATTTTGGATTCATGTGGACTTTACCTTCTCTTTGGAGAAGTAGGGACCCTGGGGACAGAATCATGTCCAGGACTCATTTCATACTTCTCGTCTGACTTGTTACTGGAAAAAGAAAATGAAATTATGGTTGAATAAAGCATGGAGGTTGGCTAAAAGAATCATACTGAGAAATTGAAGGTGTGATATTATTCTAGATGTTGAGGAATGAGAGCCAGTTGGTCTAATGGTTAAGGCGTGAATCTAAAAACCAGGAGCTTGGAATTTCTAGTCCTGCCAAAGCCATGAAAGCTGTCTGGGTGACTTTGGGCCAGCCCACAATCACAGTTTTGGGTGACAAGCCAGCCAAGCCAATTCAGGAGTGGGATTCTATCGGTTCGGACCGGTTCTATAGAACCGGTTGTTATGATTCTGCACAGCTCAGAGAACCAGCAAATCATGCCCCTGGCTGGCCCTGCCCCTCTCCATCTGTCCCTCCCCACCCAGTCACTCCTTATTGTGCATGCACAACAGTGCGGGCATGCCCGACATCGCTGACTGCGTTCTTTCCTGCCCACCCCCATGCTCCATTTTTTTCCTTCCTGAGTCCCAGGGAAGCCTTCTGGGAACAAAAATGCCCCCGAGGAGGCTCCCCTGAGGCCCAGAAGGCCCAAAAAATGAGGGGGGGCTGCCCCCCAAAAGAAGAAGCCATGCCCACCCAGTCACATGACCACACTCACCTAGCCATACCCACCTAGCCATGCCCACAGAACTGGTTGTTACAAAATTTGAATCCCACCCCTGAGTCAATTCCTGTTGCAACTAATGGATCACACTCAGTTGATCCGGAAAAAAAGCAGACCCTGCAATTGAACATGTCCCCAGTTTAACCAAAAGAAAATTAAAAGACATCTTACTCCTTAAAACACACACACAGCTTGAAAATTCCTAAATAAACCAACCAACCTAGGATACTGTATCTGGGGTTTGTCATGGACATTACCTGCTCTCCACAGGTGTGGAGTAGTTGAATGAAGTTTCAAGGTGGGGTTCTGAGGCCACGTTTCTGCTGCTGTTTGTATCAACACTACAAAAGCAAAGGAAAAAAGCATTCTTTAATATGGAGTCAAGTTATTAGTAGGTAAAAGTTGCTACGATATGTATTTTTTGTAATCCATCTATTTTTTGTAATCTTCATATTGATTGTCAATAGGCTTTGAAGTCAATTCCAAGTGATGGTCCTGAGCTATAAAACTTATCTGTCTTGAATTTGTTGAACCTATTTTTCTCTGAGCCTGACATTTTGATTCAGTGATGTTGTGCATTTGCTAAATGAAAATATGGGAACTGTCCACAGATATTGCTTAAGTACAATTTTGATCAGCCCCAATCAGCAAGATAAGTGAAGGATGCTGGGAGCTGTAGTTCAGCAACCTCTGGAGAACTTCTAGAGGAGAGTTTCCCATCTCTATGGAGACCTTAGTGTGATGGGATGCTTCCTTAATGTAATATGGATATTGAACGCGGGAGATATATCTTTTTTGTAATTGGCAGTGGCTATAATCTGATCATGATAGCAGCTTGAAATTGAAGTTTACACCTGCGAGCTTAATTGCTACTTTAATCATCACATTATTTTACTTGATGGATGGTAATGTACTATTTTAAAGTAATTTGGCACACTTAAGTTGTCAACAGCAGTGTTATTATGCCATCACACTGACTACCTGTCCATAAAAATCTTTCAAAATTATTTTCTCATTTAAATGAAATTTCAAGGCAAATTAATGTTTTGCAGCCAGGTTGATGACCATATTATTGAATGGGGGAAAAAAATAACACATTATACTAACTTGGTTCTCACAGAAGTATTGGCCAATCTTGATTCATTCTGGGGAGACTCTGAGGTTCTTCTTTCTCCGTTAGTGCTGACAACAAACCCAAAACAGTCTGGTTAGTTTGCATATTGTGATTCCTCTACAAACCATGGAATTACTAATCCAACTAAATTCCCTTTTTACAATTCTGTAATCCCTTCATCCGGGAAAGAGTTGGGGTGAATGGATGGAGCTGAGCATTTACTGGCCCTTCGTGATTCCTACACAGAGTTCACAGCAGATATTTTTTTCCTTGCGTTGTACGACAAATATCTGCCGCTACCTAGGATTGAACTCTTAGCCTTTGAAGTGGAAAGCAACATTATTTCCACTAGGCCACCACACCACTCTGCATATACTAATCCAACTGAGAAAGATTAATCTTAGTCAAGCAAAATCGAAGTTTAAACCCACTGCATGTCATAGTGCAAAGTTGTTGGATGCATACGTTTTAGGGCATGGGATGATAAAATACGAATATTAAAAGCTGGAAAAGGAGATGTAGTATTTTAATTTTTTTTAGGGTGGCTTTGTTAGTTCAGAAGAGTAAAACTCTACACCAGTGTCTGATAAAAACCCTTCTAATGTTCTGTCTTTAATTATTTGAAATTATGGATTTCAAAAGGAACTCAACCATTTCAAGCAAATGCTAATACAAAAGTTCATCTCATCACAAATACTTGTATAATGTTGAGAAAGTATTATGCACTTGATAAGTGACTGGCCGATAATCCGACGTTGCCTGGGTGTTTATTTATCCCAATCCTGTATTAGACAGGAAAATCCTATAGTCGGGGCTCACACTGTTGTACTGTCTCTCACGCAGCATCACAATTCTTTTATTCCTCCACAAGAGGGAGCCCCCTTGTGGAGTACTGTGAAGCCATTACCATGGCAAGTCCACTGTGCTGTACAGTAGAAGCCATTTTAAGGCACGTAGCCCCCCAAGGAGTGTTAGAGGTGTCTTACCCCCACAGTATTTATTTCCAGAGGGTAAGTCATCTATGTACCAAGTTTGGTTGAAATTTCTCAAGACGTTCCAGAGTTATGCTGGAACATACACATCTGTTTATATATATAAATTGGGGTGTATATATATTATATAATATAATAATATAAAGAAGAAAGATAAATGTAAATACTAGAGGAAGCAAATAATGATGGTGATGGTAGATCATAATAGCAATGACAAGAATAAGAGTAACGGGTTATCTACCTCTTCCCACGACTGTTGAACCAGGCAGAGGCAGGTACGGTCTGACTTCTGGATCGTGGACCGAAGTCATCTGGTACATCAATCCTTTCAAGAAAAGAAAAGGCCCTTCAGATAAAATATATAGTTCCTCTTGCCTCTCTATTGTTAGAATAGAAGACATTTCTGCTCACATTGGCAAGGACTACAATCTTACTTACTTCTTAGCCACAATGGCTGATACCTCCTGTGCTGGACTTCTGCAAACAGACAAGATTGTGATTATATATATAAAAAAATGAAAACTCCTTTGTGTTCAAAAGATCAGGGTCTCCATTTAAGAATACATTCATTGTTTTGTGAATTAAAGTTATTGAATAAAATAGAATCACTTAACAAATTGCTATAAATAGAATCACTTAACAAATTGCTATAAAATAGAATCACTTAACAAATTGCTATAATAAGTCTTTATTGAATAGCCCTTGGGCCATATCAAAGTGCAAAGTTCCAGCAACAATTTGTTACTAAAATTTAATAAAAGCAATTCAAAATGAAATTTGATAAAATACTATTTAAAATGGAACTTGATAAAATAAAATTTAAAATGGAATCTAAACAAAATACGATTTAAGATGAAATAGTAATAAAATACAATCCAAAATAAAATTGTAATAATGTACAATAATTTAAGATATAGATAAAATATAATAACATTATGTTTCGGAGTCGCCCTTCCAATCTACCCCAATCAATCCCACATATGCAGATCTCAACCGAATCATTTTGTTTAAATACTGTGCTACTTTAAATGTTACTTTCAAGTTCTGGACGGACATAAGGTAGGTTATTTTGATATGGGTATCCCAATGGGATATTGTTCTCCTGTTACACAAGAGATAGGAAGACCACAGCTTCTTAGAATTGCTATAAAAACTGCAGCTTTTCTTTTCTAAATTTCATCGTTTTGTTTTGTGAATTAAAGTTATTTAATAGAATCTGATATGAACACTGGTGCTGTCCATGAAGAATAGGCCTTGCATCCTAGCTTATGTTCTTTGCTATCACTTTCTCCATAACAACATCTGCAAACATTATATAATTGTACTGTATACAATTGTATATACTTTTTACAGCTCTGAGACTTGATCTATCTTTACTACCTGTAGTCCGATCAGTATAACTTCTCCAAATGTCTTTCAATTCTGCTAGATTGCCTCTGGAATTAAGAGTTACCTATCCTATACAGGTAATCCTTGGTTAACAATGGCAATTCAGCCTGGAATTTTTGTCACTAAGTGATATGGTCAGAAAGCATGATGTCATGTAACTGCATTGCTTTGCAACAGCAATTTCAGTGCTTCAGGTTGTCATTTTTAAGTGAATCCTGCACCATTGTCAAGAGCAATTTCATGTGGTCACCACTGGCGATTTCCTGCTGGCTTCCCCATTGGTTTTGCTTGTCAGATGCTGCAGGGAACATATGGCAAACACATGATCACAGGATGCTACAATGTCATAACTGTAAACTGGTCCCTGAGTGCTGGGATCGTGATCACATGACTATGAAGATGCTGTGATGGCCAGAACCTCAAGGACCGGTTATACATCCAGTTGTTCAGTCCTGTCCTAAGTCTCAATGGTCACTGAATAAATGGTTATTAAGTGAGGACCATCTATATAAATGCTTTACTATTTTTTCAGCTATAGTAATGGTATTGATTTTCTGAATGTTGTGTTTGTATTTTCTTGGACTGCAATAAAAACTCATTGATAGCCTCACACTGTAATGAACAGGAACACATATTCAATTTTGCTGCTATTGGGTGATACACTCAAATTAGTAATTACAGGGGAACTTTTTTGAATTATTTGAATTGGGGTGGAATTTTTGGAATAATGAAATAAGAATATGCGATGAAATTGCAAATGTGACAGATAAAAGTATAACGTATAATGAATATGAAGATATGAGAATTATTTAAAGTAAAAAGAAATAAGTTAAGAAATGAATAGAAAATATATGAAATAAAAGTATTTGAGAAAATTTATAGAAAATATGTAATGTAATGATGTGATATGAAATCAAAAGATGAATATGTAATCAAGGTCATGTTTGTATGGATATGTGAAAACCTGGAATCATGCTGTTCACTAAAAAAAGATGTTTTTGAAATGTGAAAAAATAAAAAACTTTTTACAAAAAAAAATATTTTTTCCCGCCATTAAGATTGTTGGACGAGCAGGCACAAAAACAGCCAGGGAAGTGATTGAAGCCTGGAAAATGGGCCTTTCATCAGTCAACGGGAATGGTGATTTACCACCAGCCTATCAAGTACTTAGAAGGCGAGGGCTGGGCAGCACAAGCAAATGGCAGCCGACCATCAACACACCCCAATCAACATCTAAAAAGCCACAAACAACAGGCACTATAAATTCCACACACAGAACAGCTAGCACTCTGCTAGAGGGAAGTTCCCTGAAGGTAGGCTCCAGCCTGAGTCCAAAATCTCAAAAGACAAAATTTCTGGTTCCAGTGACCAACTCAGATTGGATCCTGCAACTTCATCCTGGGACACAGCCTTCATTCGTACTATGGATTTTTTTAAAAAAATTTACCCTCCAGTTTTCTTTGCCGCTGAAAGGACATAGGAGCGTTCTCTGCCGGCCGTTCGTCTCAGGACACTACTAGCAGCTTCTGTCCTACAAAACAAGGGATGAAAAAGGAGATAAAACTCTGGGTCATTAAAAAAAAAACCCGCAGGTTCTATTCTGGCGCCATCTCTAAGTTCCTCCTCTTTTCCATCAGCTGTTAGCTTTTTACTTGCAAATAATTTTTCTAATGAAAGACTGTTCCATCCAATTGCTCTTCAGCCTGAGTGAGAATAAAGCAATGTCAGAGATTGGTTTAATGTTAGAAGATTAACTCTGTCTTTAAATCCTTGGGAACAACAGGATCTGTGCAATAGGGATGTTCAATGAGTTGTGTATTGACTTAATGTCACCCTAAGTCTGAATTTCAACTGATTCAAGAAATCCATCCAGATTCCCGCTAAAAGCTTCTTCTTGCAGTCTGGAAAGGGGGAGAAGATGGTGCCGAAAGGAAGAAAATGAGAATTAGAAATAAAATGGTCAACCCTCCAACTTGTTTTTGCTCTAGCTCCACTCTTTGACTCAACTCCACCCCCACGTGGTACCCAACAGATTGTCTGAAGTTTAATACGCATCTTCATCCAATAGTCATTATGCTCATATTTATAAAGCTCTCAAGCTTTCCAGACTGAACTTTACTTGTCTTTAACCTAACTGACAACTTGGGAAGGAAAGGGTGGGGAAGGAAGGATGGAATGGTTGAAGACTGTAACTCAACAGGAGGGAAGGCACCTGCATGGCATGTAATAAAAAGACATCAAAAATGGGAATCTCCAGGTGGGCTGGTGGACAATTCCTTACAGGTTGACAGTACTAAATTAGCTGAACCAAGGATATGATTCCTTAGGAAGCCGCTTCCTCTGTTCCCAGCTGTGGAACTTCTGGATGCATTTATTTGTTAGATAAAAAGCGAAGGCTCGAGACCTCATCCAGAACCACTACATCCCTGACTTTGATATAGATGACACTGACAATGTTACCTGGTTTGGTAATGAAACGTCTGCAAGAAAACCACCAAGCTAAGAGAATCCAAGGATCCCACAGTTCTCCCCTTCCTCCTCCTCTCTACAAATCCTATTCCCTTCTAACATTGATGACGTTACCTACTTGGGTAAAGAAATGTCTGCAAGAAAACCACCAAACTCAAAGAATTCACGGATCCCACAGTCCTCCTCCTTTCCTTCCTTCCCACCCATCTCCCCTCTACCAACCCTATTCCCTTCTAACACTGATGGTGTTACCTACTTGGGTAAAGAAATGTCTGCAAGAATTTAAGAACATAGTGTGTATTTTAAGAATGTACCAAGCAGAATTCAATTGGAAGTTATGTGTTATATTGAATGTTATAATTGTAAAGGCATAAATTGAAGTTTAAATAAGAGTTGAATGGACAAAATTAAAAGATACAAAGGTGTCCTACAGGGGAAACTTGTTTAATGAGAAAAGAAAATATGAAATTGAAACAGGACAGACAAAAATATAAATACAATTATTAGAAAGACATTGAAACCTAGAAAAAGATATATAATTGAATTTAGATAGGTATGAGATAATTAAAAACAAGGTTGAGAAAACTAAGGGAGGGGGGAAATTATGGAGAAAATGTTAAAATAGTAATAAGATATGGAATAGAACACAAAGGCGAATGTGAAATTGAGTTTGTGCCTGTATGGAGAAGTGATAACCCGGGATCATGCTATTCTCAAAAAAAGATATTTTATTTGTATTATGTTTTGTGAAAACCCAAATAAAATTTATATTAAAAAAAAAAAAAAAAGAAATGTCTGCAAGAAAACCATCAAGCTTAGAGGACCCCAGAATCCCAGACTTTATCAAGGTACCTCTTTTTCTGCTCCTCTGGAGAAACAGAGGGTTGTCCATCTGCTGGGTAGGAGAGTTCACGCTTAATATTGTAGGGAGCTCTGAAGCACAGATAAAAGAGAAAGTGGGAGGTGAGATTCCCCCCCCCCCCAATTACTCACCAAGAAACTAATCTTCAGCTGAAGGTTGAAGGATGACTCTTATCTATGCTTCCAGTTTGGCCCAGCAGCTGGCCCCACTACTACCTCTTTACTTTTGAGATACTCACAGTTTTTTGTAATCCTCAGTGGACATCTTGGGCCCTTGGGTGGTGGGGGAGGTCTGACTTGGGCTCTTGACACTGAAAAAAAAGAGGGATTACATCAAGAGATTCGATAAAAAGAGAGGGGCTGCTGGATGAAAGAGACACCCAGGAGTGGGCTTCAAACTTTTTAGCAGCCCTAATGACCGGCTGGGTGGGCATGGCGAGGTGGTCATGCAACTAGGTGGGTGTGGCCAACTCAACATCGCTTCTTTGCCCTAATTACCTAAAAAAAAAAAGATAATATACCAAAAAGTTGTTCATTATTTCATGCATTGAATATTTAAATGAAAGACTCGGTGAAACCAGGCTGAATAGCAGTGACTGTGAGAGGGATCTTGGAGTCTTAGTGGAGTTTCTGGTGAGTTACGTGATTCTTATTATTTGGGAATTAGTCCCCCTCGGAGGCAAGTGGCTATGTTATCTGATTTTCTCAATGGCTCTCCCTCGCAAGTGCTGAGTGGATTGTTCATCTAGCTTGCAACACTTTTATGAGGTGTGAAATGCTCTTGGCTGAACGCCCAGAAGTTCAATCGAGCCTATTAAGAGCTGCCTGTCTTTCTGAGGTAATTGGGGGCTCTCCGAGCCCTGCAGAGTCTTAGCTAGGGGCACTCCCAAGACCCCAGCAGCCCACCCCTGCTTACACCCCAAAATTAATGGGGAAAGCAGAGAGACAGGCTGTTTCAAAATCAGCCATTGGTCCCTCTGCAGTATTTTAATGTCATTGTTGTAAATAAGCATTTTTATTTTATTTTAAAAGCAGATTTCTGCATTTCCTTTTGATGTATGGAAACACGGGTTAGAAGAGCACATAGATAACAAGTTATGGTACTTTCCCATTGAAAAAGATTCCAAAATTCACCTGGCTCCCATCCTATAAGGATTTCAAAAGTCTTTGAAAATGTGGCTTTGGTCCCAGGGCAGTTTTCTTTTTGAATAGCGTGAGAAATTTTGTCTGGGTATACACAGTATATATCTTTCATTGTTTTCAACCGTTTTTAATCACTCTCTCTCACACACACATTCTCTTTTTCTTTTAAGTATGCACACTGCCCAGAGCCATTTGGGAAGCAGATAGCTTCCCGAATCTAATGAAATTAATAACTAACAAAACAAGATTCTCGACTGTAGCACCACAATGACACAGATTTTAATTTTCATTAATAGAGGAAACAAATTAAATGCATCCTGTTTATTTATTTATGAGGAACTAAAGAATGTGCCATTCTGACTGGCTACAGATGCTTCACATAATAAAAAAAACCAGGGCAGTAAAATAAGGAAGCAAATATGAGGATTCCATTATCCAAACATATACAAAACATGACAAAATCTTACAAGGCAACATCTTAGTTTTTTTCCCCTGCTTCAAGGCCCATGGAGCAGCTCCAGATGTTCAGTGCCTTATAGGACATCATCCGGGTGGGAGTTATACAGATTTCTGGAAAAAAAATACTATTCCAGACAGCGAGTTTCACAACCTACTTTTGAGGCCTCAACACATGACACTGTTTAATTTGAATTTATTAAAGACAGAGCTATACTAAAGGATAGGAGTGACAAGTCACAAGATATTGCATGCAGAAAAATGCATGCTGTTCTTTGCGGGTTGAATGCATGCTCTAGCAAAAAAGAACTGGAGCTCTCTGTTACCTCCAGCAATGGTATCATAGAAATCCAGCAAAAATTGTTGCAGGTGACTTAACTGGAACGCCTCTGTTCCTCTTAGTACCAAGCTAACAAAGTTGAAGTTTGACTCTTAGAGTAGACCAACCTTTTCTGCGTCTCATTGGATGCTGTCTTGGAAGGAGACGACTTATCAATGGTCTTGGTGAAAACTCCCCTAGAAGAAAGAGAGAAATCCAGAAAATTCCTGGGTCAAATTTCATCAGGTGAATAGACCGGAACCTAGAGCAAAGCTTTGCAACCTGGAATAGTGCTGATCAGTGCCCTCTTACAGAACACTCCATTGCATTTACTCATCCTACTTAGGTTCATATGGATAGTTTTGGTGTTCGACTGGGATTCTAAGACCACTCAGCTGACTGATTCTGTATCGACTCTGCCCTCTGTTCTGTGTTATTTGGGCCACAAAAGGATCAACATTCACAGCAGGAATTCCAGATACTGAAAGAAATGAACTATTTCCTCTTTTCTATTTCAATTTAGAATAGGGTTAGAAGGGATCTTGGAGGTTCTCTAGTCCAACTCCCTGGTCAAACAGGAGACCCTAGTCTAGACCATTCTGAATGATTGGTTGTCCAGTCTCTTCTTAAAAACCTCCAGTGATGGAGCAACATGACTTCCGGAGGTAAGTTTGCCTTCAGAAGTTGTGGGAGCCCCATTGCTGGAGACTTTTAAGAAGAGACTGGACAGCCATTTGTCTGAAATGGTACAGGATCTTGTGCTCAAGCAGGGGGTTGGACTAGAAGACTTCCAAGGTCCATTCTCATATTCTGTGTTCTATGTTTTAAACCAGGGGTCAGCAACCTTAAACACTCAAAGAGCCACAAAGGTCCTAACAGGAAGCCCCCATTAAATTCTGGAGCTGACCGGAAGTGCGGTTCACCACTACCACCATAGAGTCTCCTCCTAGTGTGGCATCCTTTTTTCTCTGCCAACCAGAAGTCCAGTTCACCCACCATAGAGTCTCCTCCTAGCACGGCGTCCTTTTTCTTCGGCCGACCGGAAGTCCGGTTCCACCACCATAGAGTCTCCTCTTAGTGTAGCATCCTTTTTCCTCTACCTGTCCTAACCAAAAGCCCTATCAATTGTGGAGCCGACCAGCGACAGGGAGCCCCAGCAGAGGGATGAAAGAGGCACATGCAGCTCCAGAGCCATGGGTGGCTGACCCCTGTTCTAAACCATTCCATTGATTAATTATTCTTACTCTCAGGAAATTTCTCCTTAGTCGGATCTCTCTTTAATGATCTTCCACACATTGCTTCTTGCCCTGCCCTCTGGTGCTTTGGAGATTAGGTTGACACCCTCTTCTCTGTATCAGCCCCTCAAGTACTGCAAGACTGCCATATCACCCCTAGTCAATCCCAAAGGTGCTTTTTTTCAAGAGGCAACTGGACTTTCTGTTTTTCTTTGAAGACGTTTCGCTTCTCATCCAAGATAGCTTCTTCAGCTCTGACTGGATGGGGTGGGGGAATGGAAGGATTTGTATTCCTTGCAGTCAGCTGGTCATTTGGATCCTTTTAGAGAGTCCTTGAGGCCACCTGGAGGTTTAGGGTCACCTAAATGGTACATATTGGATGAGAATCTTCTTGGATAAGAAGCAAAACACCTTCAAATGCCTCTTGAAAAAAGCACCTTTGGGACAACCAGGACCTGGATGACTGAGAATCTCCATAGACAATCACCCCTAGTCCTTCTCTTTGTTGGACTAGATGAGGGGTGGGACTGCACCAGTGTTACTATCGGTTCGGTCAGAGTGCGTTCGGTCAGAGGGCTTCATGCGCGCACGTGTAAAACAATTGCAAAAAACATCAGCTGTGCCACCCGGACAGCTGACAAGTGCTATGTGTGGGTGCGCAGCGTTTGAAAATCCTCTTCTTTCATGCTTTTTCAACCTCAGCTGAGCTGCGCAAAGCAGGTGAGGTTGAAAAAGCAGGAAATAAAGGACAGCCAAGAGCCCGGGCAGGTGGGTGGGCCAAACAGATGACGGTTTGGTGTCTGCTGCTCTTCAGAGTTACCGGTTCTATAGAACCAGGCCAAACCGATAGCATTCCACCCCTGGACTAGACGCATTTAGTTTTCTCAATTGTTCATTGTATGGTTTACTTTCCAGACCTTTTATCTTTCTTGTTGCTCTTCTCTTTTTTGTATCCTGGATAACCAGTATTCCAAGTGTGGACTCAACAGTGCAGTATAAAGTGGTGCTATCGCTTCGTTTCAACTTGAAACTACCCTTCTGCTGATGCAACCGAGCATTGCAATTTCTTTTGACTCACCTGATGAGATACCCAGAAGATGATGTGGCAGTAGAAGAACTAGATGGAAGAGAGAGACAATCAGATGTGAGCACCCCATGACTTTCTCAATATCTGAAGGTAATCCAAGCCTTCCCCGGTTATAAAAGTGCCATTGGTGCTATGCACATTATCTCCTGTGCTCAAAATTCAAGGGATCATTCTTTGTGGAAGTGTCTCTTTTTAAAAAAAAAAAATTGGGTATAATATCACAATCAAAATATAATAAAAAAGCAACACACTCACTTTGGGGAAAGATTTTTTTGTGCTGAAGGAGACTGTGGTTCTCTGTGGGAAGATGGCGCTGTACAAGGTGTCCTGAAAGAAGATAGACATTTTCAAAACAAAGATATTAGAGTTCTTGTTGGACAAGGCAGGACAAAGCACCTCAAATTAAGGATGGATCTGGCACTAGGGGAGGAGGAGGAGAGGGGGAAGGGGGAAGGGGGAGGGGGAGGGGGGAAGAGGAAGAAGAGGAAGAGGAAGAGGAAGAGGAAGAGGAAGAGGAAGAGGAAGAGGAAGAGGAAGAGGAAGAAGAAGAAGAAGAAGAAGAAGAAGAAGAAGAAGAAGAAGAAGA